GCCATTCCAGACCCGCCTGGACACTGTCCTGTGCCACTGCTGGAGGTGCCCCTGCTCTGGCAGGGGGTGGCACTGGGGGAGCTCCAGAGGTCCCTTCACACCCTGACCATTCTGGAATTCCCACCTGGCATCCGCATCCCGGTGGTCAGCTCCCACGAGCTTGTAAAAGAGGGTCCCAGTCAACACAGGAGGGTGGAAATGGCAACGCAGAGGGACGGTGGCATTAGGCCGATGGGTGTAAGGAGGGGCTGGTGGTGGGGGTGGCAGATGGGGTGAGAAGAGCGTGGGCGTGCTGCCAGGCGCATTTTGGCAGCACCAGCCCGGCGTGCCTGGCATTTCTGCAGCCGTGCGTGCCACCGCACCCGTTTCCTTGAGCTTTATTTCAAGTCATGACTTGAGGGGGAAAAAAAAAAAAAAAAAAAAAAGGAAAAACAAACAGAGGAGAACTTTATCATTAACGAGAAGAACCCCAAACCTCTCTGGGCCTGGATGGGGCATGGGGAAATGCCGGTGGAGGTGGCTGCCAGGCAGTGCCTTCACCTGCAGAACCTCATCTGATGGGGCTGGTGGGTCCCTGCCCAGGTCCTGAGGACCTTCGACTCCATGATCAGCTCAAACTGCACCCAGGAGCTGGAGAACACCGGAGTGGACGTCTGGAAGCACACGCAGGTATGGGCGTGTGAAGCAGCCCCATCCCTCCTGGAGAGGCAGGGCCGAGGGAAAGTCGGCGTTTTGGGCACCGCTCGCTGGACCACAGCTTTGGCAGCATCCCTGGTCCCGGAGTGCGGACACTGTCGCCTGTTGCGAGGCAAAAGCTGTTGGCACCTTCTCCCCTCACGGCTCCTGTTGTTCTCTGCAGGTCAAGACAGTCACCAAGTCCTCTTGTGGGCTGCTGGATGTGACGGTGACCTCCTCGGTGCCCGGCCGCAAGCCAACGGAGGGAGTGATCCGGGACGTGGACTGCCTGCTGTGGGCTGTGGGGCGGGAGCCCAACACCGAGGAGCTGTGCCTGGACAAAGTGGTGAGATGGCACCACGGGCCTTCCACGCTGGTGCAAGGATGCCCACAGGGCTCTGGGGCTCCCATGGGTCTCTGGGGGTCCCACGGGTCTCTGGGGGTCCCACAGGTTTCCAGGGGTGCCACAGGTCTCCAGGGGTCCCACGGGTCTCTGGAGTTTCTTTGGGTCTCTTCTTGGGGTGCCACAAGTCTCTGGGGTCCCACAGGTCTCCAAGGTTTCTACAGTTCTCTCGGAGT